AAAAAAGAATGTTTCTTAATCTGTATAAAACATTTCTTGACTTCTCACAGTCGTGATCTCATTCAAGATTTGCTCTTTTGTTACTAATTTCACCTAGCATCATATCCTCTAGGATTACCGTGTTATTAGGTGTTGTACAGGTTCTTTGTTATTCTTTAATGTTGCATAGTAGTCCATTGGGTGTAAATCTCCATTCTCTCCTAGATGGACATTTAGGTTGTTTCCACCTTGCTGCTCTTGTGATGAGTGAGCAGTGTGACTCCGTTTACATCACAGCTCCTTTTCTCTAGGCTGGTAAGATTGCTGGATCAGACGGTGTTTCTGTCTACACATTTTAAAGGAAGCACCATACTGATTTCCACAGTAATTAAGCCATGTGATATTTCCTTTATATATATATATATATCATTTTATTGGTCACTTGTACCACTTTTATCACAATCCAAACATCCATCCATTGTGTCAAGCACATTTGTACATTTGTTACCATCATTATTCTCAAAACATTTGCTTTCTACTTGAGCCCTTGATATCAGCTCCTCATTTTCCCGCCTCCCTCCCCACCCCTCCCTCCCTCATGAACCCTTGATAATTTATAAATTGTTATTTTTTTTCATATTATTTTTTCAAGGGAGACTTTCTGATGTCTCCCTTTACCCACTTTTCTGTTGTCCGTCCCCCAGGGAGGGGCTTATATGTAGATCATGTGATTGGTTCCCCTAACTTTCTAAGGCAGTGCCACATCATATACCACAGTGTTCATATCTTTTAAAGAGCCAATGAAGCAGTGAGCAAAGCTTCCAGCCTCTCCACACCCCAGCAGATTTTTTTTATCTGGATTTTTGACCTTTGCTATTATTGTTGGGGTGAGATGATATCTCATTGCTGTTTGGATGTACATCTCTCTAATGGCTAATGATGATGAAAATTTCTTCATGTGTTTGTTGATAGACAAAATGTTTTGGTGACGTGTCTGTTCATGTCCAGTGCCCTTTTCACAATTTGATTTTCTGCCTTTTTCTTGTTACGGTGTTGAATTTTCTCTATATGCTAAAGACTCATCCGTTGTCTGATATATTAGTGTGAAAAAAACTTTGCTCCAATTGTAGGATCTCATCTTTGCTCTTTTGTTGAAATCTTTTGATGCTCACAAGTATGTCATGTTGTCTAGTTTGTCTTCTGCTGTCTCTGCGAGTATAGACACATGTAATAGTCTATCTAGCTATGCCCTGTAGTCGGTCTCCTAGGTTGGCCGCTGTCTTTTAAACGATGCTCCTCCTGTTCTTAGGTTTCTCATGTAGACCTCTGGTCCCTTTATAGCTTGTCTGGGGCTCCTTAAGCATAAGTAACAATTTTCTACAAAAGGGGGAGCATGTGCTCAAGGACAAAGTTTAGATCACAGGCAGGGGTGGGAAGGAAGAGGAATGAACACGGGAAACTCATGGAAGAAGTGGGATAAGTGCTGTTACCCGGTGGAGATTATAAGAAAGACATAAACCAAGTATGAATGAGTGGTTGAATGGAAAGCTGACTTTCTCTGCACCCAATTCACAGTACAAAGTAAAAAGCAAAATAGCAGAACAAGAACCCATCAAGCGTGGCACGGTATGGGCAGAAGCCTGAGCCACCAAACATGGGCGTACCCGGCAGTGAATCTGGAATGTGCAGCGATGGGTTGTGGGGCACCTGCTCAGATGTATAGACAGGGAGTGTGGTGAGGAAGAAACAGATAAAAGTAAAAGAAGAAGAGATGAGAGAGAACAGAACTAAGAAGACAGAAAAAAGAGGAGACAAGCATGGCACCTACTGGAACAAGTGTTAGCCTTCAAACATGGCTGACACATGGGGAGCCCTCCATGGGAGGGCACACCAACAACCATCGAGAAGCAGGTAGGATGTTCACCAAGAGGGGAGAGAGGCAAAAAGAGAAACCAAATGTGTGTGTGGGGGGAGCGGAGGGGGGAGAGGAAAGGAAGGAAAAAGAGAGAGAGAAACATATAGTACTTGTGAAAGGTCATTCCAAATATTGTATAAAATGAAAAAACATATAGAGACATCAACGACATGAACACCCACAATATATAATATTGGGCTAAATATATGTAATCCAAAGATTAAAGAATTCATTTCAGCTGACCACTGCTTTACCACCACGTTTTGATTCTACTCTTGCTTTCTTTATGGACCTGGAATCTTATCAGCTAAGTGCGTTTTACTGCAGTTGCCCACATTGTTTCACTTGAAGGGTGCTGATGCATGCCTCCACGTTTTTCCTTCACATCTGGCTGGAGGACCATTAGCTTACTGATTCCTTTCACGCCTGCTAATGTTTCCACAAGCTTTATTTTGAAAAATTGATGCCCTTTGGCTTTCAAACATGTGCACAGAAGATTTTTAACTGAAGAAGCTCTGCACAAATTGTTATTTTTAAATAAATATATGCGACTGGTTACATTTGACATTTCTTGTGTTTTGTTTTCCACAGCTGATGGGGCACATTCCCAGTCAGGAAACAGGCCATAAAAACAGCTGCAATCGTGCAAAAAGGAGCAAGTGGCCTTGTGAAAGAACCACTGAGAGAAAGGCAGCTACTGTACTGAAGTGATGCTGGATAGGAGGCCAGAAGGGGCGTCTCTTAGGGACCAAATAATGGCTGGAGAAATATGAGACCCAAGTTTTCCTTGAGAGGCACCAACCACAGATATAAAGTGCTCATGTATGAGGATTCCATACACTACTTTCCAAAGGTTCAGAAATTAGAAATCTGCTGAAAATAGTTCATGGACATGTTTAATATGAATATTGTAATATGAAATGTAATGGATGCAACATTGGAAACACTCTTTTGTCTCTACCAAGAAGTTTTGGTAGGAATTACAAAGAATATGACTAGGGTAGCCCTATTAAATAATTCACTGCACTGCAGGGGAGAGGGTTCAAAAAGTTCACTCCAAAAATGAGATTAAGAGATAATAAAATTTTTCTTAAAAAAAATCATTTTATTGGGGGCTCATACAACTCTTATCACAATCCATACATACATC